GTCAGTGGGGACCAACAACTGTTTGGTTCTTCAAAATTCTTCAACATAAGAAAGACACTTCTACAGGTTTGGAATGATATGAATGTGAGTAAATGATGACATCATTTTCATTTATGGATGAACTATCCCTTTAAATTGGACTTATTCAATGACGTGTTTTGAGCATCTCAGCATCTTATTCATGCACACAACATGGATAAACTACAAGATGCACGTAAACTTGTCAATAGCATGGACACAATTCACCATGACCAAAACTGATACTGAAGTGGCTATATGCAAAGTTTGTTCAACTGAAATGTCATAATTTAAGTACGCCTGTTTAACTAGGTGATTGTTTTTAGCATTATATAGACATGAGAAAATAAAGGCTTTTTATATTTTACTTGTACTTATGTGTGCCTTGGCCTGCATTATTTTAACTATGCCTGGTTTAATTCATCGCCTGAGAACACAACAACCTGAATAGCATGTTCAGTTACCAAATTTTCCAAACGTTATTTCCAGTTTCGAAAACGAAATGAAAAATGTAATGTTGGTTTAGGTAAAACAACTTTAAAATAAATTGTGAAATGATTTGCGTTATGTTTTTAATTTTTGGAATTTAGAAATCTCTTTGATTTTTATTGATGGTTCAGCTTCATTTTCTGTTAGTTGCTGCTGGATCAGAGCATTGAATATTTAGCTCTACATAAAGATTTAACATTTAGATTTAATTTTATGAGTTAGATCTACAGTAAATGTAACACTTTTCTTTAAGGTTTTCTTTTCTGTTGAGGTGGCTGGCTCCCCATAGATGGTGGTGGAGGAGGTGGTGAGAATCATTCAGCAAAGATCAATCTAACCTTTGCGAACAGCTCCTACAAAACCACTTTTACAAATATGTATTTGTGTGAACACAAAAGAGATTGAGGATACGTAGCAACACGCTCGAGCTCTCCACGCCAGCGCCGGAGCACAGCTCGACGTGACACTTTTGATTACCGCAAGCGGATTCGCCCAAGTGTTTGTTCTAGCAGGAAATTATGATAACAGTAGTCACTGCACCAGTCCGTCCATATCATCTGCACTTCAATTTGAGTAACCATGGAAACTTAGCGGCAGGTACCGCGTGATGATTTAGGTCTCAGCGCTGAAGGCAAAGGAGTGAAAACAGCCAGCCTAGTTGAACTGACCCTGGGGAAAAAGAGAAAATGTTCGCTGTCCACTGCGACTGCAGTGTTTGTGCCAGGATTTACCAGGGAAACTTTGTTGTTATTTATTTATTTATTTATTTTGCAACATCACAGCAAAAGGTTCTCAAAGCATAAGCCACAGAATCTGTAGGAGTTACATAATTTGACGAAATCTGCATGCTGCCACCTGTTCAAACCTGCTTTAGTCCCAAAACCCACCAGGTGTCAAGTGCTTCTTCTGCAAGAAACATCTTGTGTGTGTGTGTGTGTGTGTGTGTGTGTGTGTGTGTGTGTGCTGTGAGAGGATGCGCGCTGTGGATGCTGTATGCTAATGTGGAGAGGGTGTTGTGTTGATTGAATGGCTGGAGAGGCTGTGTAATGTGCAGGGCTTTCTGCAGACCCGCCTGGGATATACTGAATCTGGAAATATTTACTTTAGGCTTTCACATATGGATTGGGACACTTGTTTAGTGTATTTGACTAACTTTTAATTCTGGACAGGCACAGTTTCTGTGTTTTTCTTTGTGAATCCAGGAGTTTAGATGGGAGATATTGAAGGGATCATCCCCTTTTTTTTTTTTAAATTGCCGATAGTTTTCTTCACAGCCATGGATTATGATTTGCTACTTGCTAGCTGAATGTAGGTGGTATTGGGAGCGGGACATTCTCATTTCTAGAGAGCATCTGATTGGTTAAAAATCTGTGTAGTACAGGAGTATATATATCAGTATTTTTAGTGCATTTTTTAAAGATACATTTTTTATGTGCATACCTGCTAAAAGTTAATTTTGCTTATATAATAAATAAATTATAATATAATTATAAAAATGTTTTTTTTAATGTAATCACATTATTTCTAATGCCTTTTATTATTGACATTTGACCAAAGCCCCCTGAAACATTTATATAGTAAATGTTTATTAAATGCAAATATTTAATATAAAATATTTTTATAAAAAAATATTAAATATATTATATTTTTTTTTTATAACTTTAGAGTCTTTTTCTAATACCTTCAGAGTATTTAGAGTATTATTATTATTACGTGTGTGTGTGTGTGTGTGTGTGTGTGTGTGTGTGTGTAGTATAAAATAATCATGAATTAATCTCATGATTTTTAAACATTTTTGAACACAGAATGAAACAGTAATATATTAAATAATAAATACGTAAAAAAAATTGAATTATAACACTTTGTAAAATGTATTTAATATTACATGTTAATGCATTAACTTTAATAGCCATAAAAAAAAATGTTTTAAAGAAATAGTGCTGTCAAATCGATTAATCACTTCCAAAATAAACGTTTACATATGTGTGTGTATTGTGTATTTTATTTGTATGTATATATAAATACACACACATACATGTATAACTTTAAGAAATGTAATATATATTTATATTTGTGTATAATATAATTCATATATAAATATATACATATATATATATGTGTGTGTGTGTGTGTGTATATATACACACACACACACAGTACACACACATATATTATGTAAACACAATTTTTATTTTGGATGCGATTAATCGATTTGCCAGCACTAAAAAAAATAAAATAAAAGAACAACACAAATTTTCACAAACTCTTAAGCACTCCATAGTGACCCGTTTCAAAACCTCTGCTTTAGCATATAGATGATCACAGCTACATGGTCTACCGCAGTATTAAATAAAAAAGGCAACATTTATTATATTTCATGGTTAATATCAATGTAACCCATTGATACATTCGCATTATCATGCATTTGCTACACATTTTGAGAACTTCAGTGCATACAGCTCTGTATTTCTGTTTGTTTGTGACAGTGCTTTGTTCTGTGTGCTTTCAGGTAACCAGCCGTCCCCGCTGGCGTCAGTGGAGCGTTATAACCAACTGAAGAGGAGATGGGAACCCGTGGCCCCGTTACCCAGCCCTCGCTGCTCCTGTGCCTCCATTCAGACCCCAAACATGCTGTTCCTCATCGGAGGGGTGTCCCAGGGTCCCAGCAACGCCGTGGAAGCCCTCTGTTTGAAAGAGACCGTCTGACACACACATACACACACTAATGAACAACTACACAAATCCTCACATGCTGTACTTTCCGGAGTGTAAGCTCTGCAAACACACACACACGCATACTGACGTCAAGCTGACGTGTGTGTCTCTGACATATATTCACAGACTTTCCCCTCAGAGGACGCATCAGCTTTATACTTTGAATAGTGGAGACAATCTACTGGAGCTTGGACAGCGTTCCACACCTCTGGACAGAAGAGTTTTGGACTGGAGATCTAAGACAAGCAAAAAATACTTAAATATATCATTCATCTAACTATACTAAATATAGTAAATATATTTATGAATATATATATAATTATAGCTATATTAATATATATAGATAAATGTGCAGACCTACACGAACAGACACACGCAACACTCCAGGCGCCTTTGAACCTTACAGCATTTTTCAGTATCAAAGCAGGGTAATTTTCTGGCAAACTAAAGAGGAACTTAGGGCCATATCCACCACGCTGCCACAGCACCCGTCTGAGGTAGCATGTTTAGCACTTTTTGTATTATTGACAAACAGAGGATGTTCTGCGCGAGATTTCAGAAATGGGAGGCAGATGCGTGTGCGTGTGTGTTTTTGTACCTTCACAGCCATGCACGTATGAAATTGAGAATCGTTATGCGTGGAAAGAGCAACTCTTATAACGGCAAATCACTGATGCCTCACTGTAGCATGAGACAGGGGAGATGGAGGAGAACTTGGTTCATCTAGCCGGTTAATTAAAGGAATGTTCTGGGTTCAAAACAGGTTTAGCTTGAAAGTATCTGTGATATACTGTCGATTAGCACAGATGATCATTTGAATGTGTCCCTAAAAACAAGCAAAAAAATGTGTTTACAGTAATGCTCTTGCAATGGACATTTAAGGGGCAAGGAATGTTTTTTTATTAACGTGGTTTTATTAATTAATTTGTACAAAAATCTTTTATTTTACATGTTATTTATTAAGATTTTTTTGTCTTTTTGAAAGAAGTCCCTTAAGCTCACCAAGATTGCATTTATTTGATCAAATATTAAGTCAAATGGTAATATAGTGATTTTTTTAACTATTTAAAATAACTGTTTTGTATTTGAATATATTTAAAAATGTAATTTCAAGTGTTACGTGATTCTTCAGAAATCATCCTAATATGCTGATTTGCTGCTCAAGAAACATTTCTTATTGTTTTCAATGTTGAAAACAGTTGTGCTGCTTAATATTTTTGTGGAAATCGTGATACATTTTTTCAGGATCTTTTTAAGAATAGAAAGTTTTTAAAGAAAAACAGCATTTACTTCACAAAGAAAGCTTTGGAAACATTATAAATGTCTTTACTGTCACTTTTGATTAATTTAATGCATCCTTGGTGAATAAAAGTATTATTTAAAACAAATATTGACCCCAAAATAAATATAAATACATTTTTCAGGTAAAATGACTTATTTTAAAGAGTTCACTGGTCAATAGTTGTGAAAACCCTGCTATAGTTTATGTATGTCATCATAACCCATAATCAGAAAACACATGTATGGGTCAGTCACCGCTTTAAATGGTTATGTTAGAAGTTATGTTAGAACTTACCCTTGACACTGTAAGTCCATTACTGTAAATATGTAGGCTATCATATTTGCTTTTATTTGCTGATGAACCATTCCTTTAATACTAATGAAGTTTGGACAAAGTCTTACAAAGTGTGTTCTTCTTCTGGAGTGTGCTGTTTGAGGAAAACCTTGACACTCAATTATTAGACACTACAATTCTTAATAAATCAACTGAGAAATTTTCCAAGATCGCTCAGCACATTAAACACAGGAAATGTGTTCGCAGCTCGAGTTCACAATCACGTTCATACTTAATCAGAAGTTGTTTCTTCAGGGTAAGAGCTAATTAAATCTAGTCAATGCAGTTGCGATTCACGGCTCATGTTAACTGTTTCTGAGTGACCCATTTACAGGGCGAGAGATGAACGCTCTCGGGACGTGGAGGAGGACAGAGGGCTCACTTCCTGTAATTTTTGATGAGATAAAACCCTTGACTTAGACCTCATACGCCTCATTTTCGCTTCACCAGTGCCCTGTGAGGGTCTTGTATTGCCCCCACTGATGATTTGACAAGGGTATCAGGTCACTGAGCTCATTTAGCATGCTGAAAACAGAACTCATGCATGTCAGGAATTCACAATGCTTAGTGACAGGTTTGAATGCACTAAATTCAGGTGCATCTTTGCTGTGAGAGGTCAGTATGGGTTTGATTTATCTGGTCTGCGTGTGTTTGTATAAATATGTGCACCCACACACCGATTATCATCACGTTCTGGTCTCAGACGTTTTGCTGACCTGTTGTTATTGGGCGATACGGTGCCCGAGGGCATAATAAGACGTTCATACATATTCATACTGACTGTTGTTTGAGTGCAAATGGCTGTTTGTATGTTTTTGGCTGGGATGGTGAGGATTGAATGTCAGTTTGGTTTACATCCAACATTAAAATGCCTCTTAGAAACGTTAGAATCAAAGGAATAAGAAATACAATCCACATACTTGCTTTAGATTTACGCCTCCCCTATGACTGTGATGCTGTGCTGGCAGATGGCGATCATGTGCATCATTTTAAAGTGGAAATAGACATATTTTTGTCTGTATGAAGCTATGAAAGCTACAACGCCAGGAGATGAGCTTTCTTATTTAATTTAATTTTTTCTATTTTTAATTTACATTTTTTACCTTTTTTTTTTTTTTTTTTTTTGTGTCATTAATGTAGGCTCTGCTGCAGGCTAACTGAAATAGCGAGTTCATTTTCACTTTGCTTCATGTGAGGTCAAATGTCGCAGAGGTTCAAATTTGAAACACCCTCCAGCACCTCAGGAGACGACAACGTGTGAATAGATGATCTGAGGGAAAACGATAATGCCGAGAGAAATATACCTCTATTTTTTTCTTGTCTACGAATTCTGCAACAAGACACATGACTCATCTTGGCAGAGTATATTTCGCTTTCGTTCGAGTCTCATTTCTGCTGCCTCTACGAAATGGAAACGCTGAACTTCTTTACTCTCATGGAAAAAAATGTCTCAAGATGTTAAACAGGCTGTTTTCTGAATTCATTTGTCCATGATCTGAGCGCTGGCGAATGTGGGTGAAGTGAGCTCATATTTTCATATCTAGAGGTGCGAAATGTTTTACTCGATTTGTTTATTTCAGAGGTGTCATTCAGACCTCTCCACAGTGCTTTAAATTACTTTAGGGAATTCAAATAGTTGGACTCCAGGCTTTTTTATTATGTAAACGTTCAAATGCATTTCGTCTTTTACACTTTGGAGTAAACGCAGTGTATGATCACCTAAACTCTAAGTAGCAGTTGTTTTGCAGTGATTTTTCATGTTTCTCCATGTTCTGAATATTCTCTGTGGTGGGTTGTTGAACTAAATGCAGTTTCTCCAGTGTTTCGTGGGTTAACCTGTTTGTTTTGTGAGGTGACAGATTGTCATGTGGACCCGTAATCTGAGCTGTTGAGATGGTCTGTTGTTTTTTTATGATGTTGTGCCGTCATGTAGTGGTGTACTAGTGGTAGCTGATGGCCTCTGACAGTCTTCAACACGCAGTGCCGATACTCTGGGCACATTTCAACTTCTGACTCATATTCTCCATAAGAAAGTCAATCAAAATCCACATTATCTCACTGCATAATCTCTAATCTAGACAGATAAATCTTGGTTTTAGCCCTGAGCAGAAAATGCCATTTTAGTTCATGTTTTTCCACATCTGAAATATTGCCATGGAGGATTGTTTCACACTGAGGTAGATGAACAGAGACACACGGTCGGCCCAGGGGAACTCACAATGTCCCATGAGATTACACTACACCCCATCCACACAGCGAAAGCTGTTATACCCTCTAGCGTACTGTTGTCGACCATGCACTGAATCAGCCTCTGTTGTTACACTTTGAAAAACAGGTAACTGTTATCCACGTTTATTCTGTGAAGAACTATGGGACTATAGAATTGATGTTGTATGAGCACTGTAGACATGAACCTGTGTGAGTTGGGACATTTATTCAGAACTAGGCTTTTGATGGCTGTTGATTGAAGCTTTGTGTAAAATGTTTATGATAACATTTGAAAGAAATTTAATTTGCCTGTCTTAAAGGGATAGTTCACCCAAAAAAATGTGAATTCTGGCATCATTTACTCACCCTCACAATCACATCATCTGTATGACTGACAACATAATTCCTACAGATTTAGAATGACGTGAGGGTGAGTAATGATGACAGGATTTTAGTTTTTGAGTGAACTATATCCTTAAAGGTGCTGTAAGTGCTCTCCTTTCACTATTTTGCTCATTTTCAACCACAACTTCTCTTTAAAAAATCCACAGTTCAAAGACACGAACGATTGACAGATAGAGAGTGTTTCTGACTGGCTAAAATAGCGCTGGCGCCCCCTGAATGTTTAATTGTGTGTTTGTTTACAGATTCTAGCGCTGTCACAGAAACAGGTGTGCTTTCTCAGGACACCTATTTCAGTGATATCTGTCAGATTAGAGTTACATTTATGTGTGATATTCCCAGATTCCCAACTGTTTACAGCACCTTTAATAATGTCGTCAGGATGAAGAGTAGTTAGAAAGCAATATATAAACTGCACAGAATATCAGTGAACTCTCTGGCACCGATTAAATTACCCATTGTATGTTATAGCAGAGATTCGAGCTGCATATCACATAGAGAACTTCACTTGAAACGTATAGATGGGTTAACGGTCTGGATTTAAATCTGAATTGTGTTGAGCCATGTTGACACACAATTGATTGCGAGTCCAGTTCAGTAGTTCAGTGCCTATATATGTGAGGTAGTGCCTCTACTGCGATTTCTGTAATAAACTCTTTGAACATTTCTATGTGATCCTGTGTGGTTCAATGCGTCTTTCTTAAACTTTAACGTAAGAACGCAAGAATGCAGCACAGCGAAATTGAACAAATGCGTATCTCAAGTTTCTAAAATGCAAACTTGTTTATATTAACATGGCGTCGTAAAATCGCATCGCGTGTGACAAGCTGAAAAACTGCGAGATGCGTGGCGATGTGCAAACAGGTAGGCTAGTTAAAAAATACAGCGCATGTTTACATAATCACAAAAAATATGGAAGCCCAATTCCTCCACTGAATAAAAAACATAAAAAAGGTTATTGCGACTTTTTATCTCACAATTCTGACTTTTTTTCTCAGATTTGCGTGATACAAACTCGCAATTCTGACTTTTTCTCAGAATTGTGAGATATAAACTCGCAATTGCGAGTTATAAAGTCATTTAATATCAGCGACTTTATATCTCGCAATTCTGATTTTATAACTGTGCGGTATAGTCACTATTGCGAGATATAGTCGTAATTGCGAGAAAAAAGTAAGAATTGCGAGATAAAAATACAATTCTGACTTTTTTTCTAAGAACATTTATCCGGCTAAGAGTTTATATCTTGAAATTCTGACTTTTTTTCTAAGATTTGTGAGATACACTCACAATTGTGCATTATAAAGTCAGAATTGCACGTTTTTATCTCGCAATTCTGACTTTTTCTCGCAATTGCGACTATATCTTGCAATAGTGACTTTATACCACACAATTGTGAGTTATAAAATCAGAATTGCGATACAAGTTTATATCTTGAAATTCTGACTTTTTTCTCAGAATTGTGAGATATACTCACAATTGCGAGTTATAAAGTCAGAATTGCGAGATATAAAGTCCAATTTTGAGGGGGGAAAAAAGACTGATATGTTCTCAAAATTGCAACTTTATATCTCAATTCTAACACAATTGCGAGTTTATATCT